TTCAGGTCCTGTATGTCTCCAATGTCAGAGTACAGCGATTTCACTCTGATTAAACCCAGCAGCACCACAGACTTTAAGGAGGTGATCAGTGTTCTTGATGCGTCTTTACCTGACAGCACCTGGACCTTTGAGAGCCAGCAGGTGAGAAGAAAATGAAATACTTTTCTCATAATCTTTAAAACCTCACCATTTGAAGTCTGTACCATCAAAGCAGTTGATTTGATATGAAGTTTTAAGTGGTTCAAAGCAAAATCGTATGCTTATATATTTGTCATGATATATATTTTTTTCTTCACAAGACTGAAATACAAGCACATTCTTTAGACAGAGCTGTCTGAGTATTATGCACATATCGAAACCATGCGAACTGCTAATACCTTTTAATCCTCATAGGATATTTGACATATTTCAGTATTAGAGTTGTTGAATACTCAGCGCGATTTGACTGTTTGGATGTTCGATATAGGACAGTGACAAGCAATTGAACAGCTTCAAAAACAGTGCAAAAAGATGTACGTTTGTTTTCAGAATACAGCAGTGGTACATGTTTCAATTTAATCTAACATTTTACTGTAGTGAATATTATATTTAATGTTATTTCTTAGGTTTAATTTTTAAACAACTTGCCAATTTAAAGTTAATGTTATTGTAGAAACTGCAATATAAATTAAATAAGATTAATTATTGTAAGAACGCGTTAAAATAAGAAGAAAGGTGCGTATTTTTGAGTTAACTGTTCAGTATTGTTGAATTTTTCATCTGTGAGCACCCGTGTGTGTGTTCTGTATTATAGTCTTTGTGCTGGGTCTATAATATGTCTTTCCCTTTCGTATTGGATGCGGGGTCAGTGTTGTGAGCCAATAGCATGGGAGGCTGTACAAAGAGATCTACTCCCTCCCCCATCCATCCTGCTCACTATAGCCAGTGCTTCTAGCGCGGGATGAGAAAAGGATGCGTTTAAACACTGGGATTAAATAATATACCATTATTACACTTCTCATGATGTATGAACGACTATTTATTTCGCGTTCCACGAGTGCCTCGTTTATGGATTTCTCACCAGTCTGTTTTTTTCTAAATGATGTTTCCATGGGGAATAACGCTGAATTCTAGCGGATCGAGGATGACAAAGAGAATGGGATACAGAGACTGGAGATGGCTGGCGCTTCGGTGGCATTATGTGTTCTTTCTCTTGTGGAGTACAGTAAACGGACAGACTCGCTACAGTATCCCAGAAGAGCTGGAAAGAGGCTCTTTGGTTGGAAATCTTGCCAAAGATTTGGGTTTAGGACTGTCAGATATTTTTAACCGTAATCTGCGTGTCGCCTCCGAGGCTGGTGAGCAGTATTTCAGCGTGGATGCGGGAAAGGGTGAGCTTTTAGTGAATGACAGAATAGACAGAGAGGCATTGTGTGGACAAAGCGCCAGCTGTGTGTTACCTCTGCAGGTTGTTATAGAAAATCCGCTACAGTTACACCGGATCGAAGTGGAAATTAGAGACGTAAATGACAATGCCCCTAGTTTTCTCAAAAGTGATCACATAATTGAAATAGCCGAATCCACAGCTGTAGGTGTTCGTTTTCCCTTAGAGATGGCAGTGGATCCCGACGTAGGGAGCAATGGATTAAAAACATACACACTAAGTAAAGATGAGTGCTTCAGTCTAAAAGTTAAAGAAATTGAAAATGGAGGGAAAATACCCGAATTAGTATTGAATAACTCTTTAGATCGCGAGAAAAAATCCACTCACAATTTATTTCTTGCTGCCATAGACGGAGGTAATCCTGTCAAGACCGGAACTTCCAAAATAATTATAACTGTGCTTGACATCAATGACAATGTGCCATTATTCGAAAACAGTTTTTATAAAATTGCTGTTGAAGAAAACATTGCAAATGGTTCTTTTGTTATTACAACAAAAGCAACAGACATCGATGAGGGTCCGAATGGAGACATTGAGTACTCGCTTGGTGTACACACACCGCCATCAGTGGTCTCGTTGTTTTATATTGATGCTGTAAGCGGGGATATATATCTTAAACAGCAATTAGACCACGAAACTCAGACATCATATCGTATAGATATTAGTGCAACAGATAAAGGCTTCCCTAAAATGGAGGGTCGCTGTACTGTCCAGGTGGATGTATTAGACGTAAATGATAACGCACCAGAAATTGTACTCACTTCAAAATCAACTTCTGTGCCCGAAGACTCTCGCAGCGGCACTGTGGTGGCTTTGCTCAGCGTTCGTGACCTCGATTCCGGTGATAATGGCAAAGTCACGTTACAACTTCCCAAAACGTCTCCATTCACTCTGAAACCTTCGTTTTCTAATAATTACGCACTGGTTACCAACGGCCCTTTAGACCGAGAGAGATGTTCAGAGTATAATATAGAAATCAAAGCCACTGATTCAGGCTCTCCTCCTCTGTCCAGTAAGAAAATCATACCTGTCATTATCACTGATGTTAATGACAATGCTCCTGTATTCACTCAGAAAACCTATAATGTGTATTTAAAAGAGAATGGAGTGCCAGGCTCTATCCTGTACTCAGTATCAGCATCTGACCTGGATTTTGGTGAAAACGCAAAGGTCTCTTACTCTATACTGGACTCTAAAGTGCAGGACGTTTCTGTCTCATCGTATGTTTACATTAACTCAGATAACGGCAGCATCTACAGCATGCACTCGTTTGACTATGAGAAACTGAAGGTGTTTCAGATTCAGGTCCAGGCAAAGGATCAGGGCTCTCCGTCTCTCAGCAGCAACGCCACTGTCCATGTTTTTATCCTGGACCAGAACGACAATGCCCCCGCTGTTATTTACCCCTCCTCCGCTGCCATGGGCTCCCTCTCTCATCAGAGGATGCCTCGCTCCGCGAAAGCGGGTCACCTGGTTACCAAGGTGACAGCCGTGGACGCTGACTCGGGCCATAACGCCTGGATCTCCTACAGACTGGCGGAGGCCACAGACGCCTCTCTCTTCACTGTCAATCTGTACACAGGGGAGGTGAGGACTAAACGCGCTGTGTCCGAGCAGGACGACTCCTCTCAGAGGCTGCTTATAGAGATCAAGGACGACGGGGAACCGATCCAGTCCTCCACAGTCACGGTGTCCATCATACTGGAGGACGGCCTCCATGAGCCCATCTCAGACCTCCGACATAAAGCGGCCGAGCCCAGCAAGAAAACTGGGAGAATCACCCTTTATTTGATTCTCTCTCTGGCCTCGGTGTCCGTGCTGTCTCTGGTCACTTTCCTCATCTTAGCGGTTAAATGCATCAGGAACAGCAGGAGCAGCAGCACGTGCTGCATGAGACGGACCGACTCTGATGATTACAAGAACCCCAACAGAAACCTGCAGATTCAGCTCAACACTGATGGACCTATAAAGTACGTGGAGGTCCTGGGAGGAGACATGCTGTCTCAGAGTCAGTCCTTCAGGTCCTGTATGTCTCCAATGTCAGAGTACAGCGATTTCACTCTGATTAAACCCAGCAGCACCACAGACTTTAAGGAGGTGATCAGTGTCCTGGATGCTTCTTTACCTGACAGCACCTGGACCTTTGAGAGCCAGCAGGTGAGCATAGAATACTAAAAGAAGTGATGAGTAAAAATTTGAACGATCATTGATTGTGCCACAGCAGAATTTTAAAAAAGAGTCATGTTTTACTTACAAGTTTTGAATGAGTAAATAGCTTCTTGTAAACTTATAGACTGTACTAAGTAATGTAGAAAGCCAACGGTGATTTTTTTTTCAGTCTACTGGCAACATTAGATGTTGGCTTTGAGTTCTTTTGAGCAGAATATAGATAATAAAGCCGCATGCGGGCAGACAACAATTTATTTTAAGGTTTGCATATTTAAATAACACACTCGGTTTTATTTCCATCTAACATTCGTGATTAGGTTAAAGTCTTTCAGTAAACCCTAAACAGTGCACAAAGGCTCTTCCAAATTTTTCAGCACCGCGAAGGTGGACAGCGACGCTTATTGGAATGCATGCTCTGTTTGAAACGCACATACATTTTACACGTGGCACATGCAGACATGCAGTTAAATGGGATGCCCATTATTTACACATCTTCCACTAAATTTCGTTGACTGGATTAAATGGAATAGCGAAATAAAAAAATATTTAGTATATTAAGTGATTTATTAGTTAGTGGGATGATATGCTTTACATTGCGTGAAGTCCAGTAATTCGCGATTACTGCCTGTGATTAAAGTGAATCCGGAGAGAGAACAGATGCTGTGACTTTAAGAGTGTCGATTGGTTTCCTTCTTATTGGATGACAGAGGTGGATGATGCGCACCAATAGGATTCAGAACTGTACAAAGCAATCTAGTCCCTGCCCCCATTCATCCTCGGTACTCGAACACTTACAATGAAGAGAGGCAGAGGACCGAAGGAGCAATGCGCTCATATTTTATAATGTTACGGTTTTATATGTGTCCTCAATAATATGTGGGAATGGTTCTATGGGAATCATACCTGCAATGATGGATTTCAGAATTTTTCAGTGCATTATGTCAATTGGAATTAATCTTTTATAACGGACCAAGGATGACAAAGAGAAAGGGATGTCGAGACTGGAGATGGCTGGCGCTTTGGTGGCATCATTTCTTTCTCTTGTGGAGTACAATAGACGGACAAACTCGTTACAGCATTCCAGAAGAACTAAAACAGGGCTCTGTTGTAGGAAATCTTGCCAAAGATCTGGGTTTGGGATTATCTGAAATTTTTGACCGTAAACTGCGTGTTGCCTCTGATGCTGGTAAGCAGTATTTCAGCATGGATGCGGGGAAGGGCGAGCTCGTGGTGAATGACAGAATAGACAGAGAGGCTTTGTGTGGACAAAGCGCCAGCTGTGTGTTACCTCTGCAAGTAGTTGTTGAAAATCCTTTACAGTCTCATCGAATTGAGGTGGAAATAAGAGACATAAATGACAATACTCCTAGTTTTCTTACCCAAGAAATTAATCTTAAAATACCAGAGTCAGTTGGTCCCGGCAGACGTTTTCCTTTAGAAAATGCAGAGGACCCCGATGTTGGGAGCAATTCTTTGAAAACGTATACTTTAAGCAAAAACGATCATTTTTCATTGAAATTCAAGGACACAACGAGTGGTAAAGCTGTCCCAGAATTAGTGTTAGAGAAACCCTTAGACCGCGAGAAAAATGCTTTCCATCAGCTGCTGTTGACAGCTTTAGATGGAGGAACCCCAGTCACATCGGGAACATGTAAAATCACAATTACTGTACTTGATAATAATGATAACTTTCCAGTGTTTAGTGAAAACGAGTACAAGGTTGTTCTAAAGGAGAATATCACCACGGGGACGTTTCTAGTTAAACTTACAGCAACAGACGCCGACGATGGGCTTAATGGTGAAGTTAGATATTCTTTCGGGTCCCGCACTCCTGACTCAGTGTTATCAACATTTGCAATCAATGTGGAAACAGGAGAAATTATATTAAAGGGCCCATTAGATTATGAAAGTAATAAATATTACCTTATTGATATAACTGCTAAAGACAGAGGGGTTCCCGAAATGGAGGGTCACAGTCGTGTGCAGCTCGACATAGAGGATATAAACGATAACGCTCCGGAGATTGTGCTAACTTCGGATCCTAGTCCTGTACCCGAGGACGCACGGAGTGGCACAGTCGTGGCACTGATCAGTGCAAGAGACCTGGACTCCGGTGAAAATGGCAAAGTGACCTTACATCTTTCCAAAAGTTCCCCGTTCGCTCTGAAACCTTCGTTTTCTAATAATTATGAATTGATTACCAGCGGTCCTTTAGACCGAGAGAGATCTTCAGAGTATAATATAGAAATCAAAGCCACTGATTCAGGCTCTCCTCCTCTGTCCAGTAAGAAAATCATACCTGTCACTATCACTGACGTTAATGACAACGCCCCCGTATTCACTCAGAAAACCTATAATGTGTATTTAAAAGAGAATGGAGTGCCAGGCTCTATCCTGTACTCAGTATCAGCATCTGACCTGGATTTCGGTGAAAACGCAAAGGTCTCTTACTCTATACTGGACTCTAAAGTGCAGGACGTTTCTGTCTCATCGTATGTTTACATTAACTCAGATAACGGCAGCATCTACAGCATGCACTCGTTTGACTATGAGAAACTGAAGGTGTTTCAGATTCAGGTCCAGGCAAAGGATCAGGGCTCTCCGTCTCTCAGCAGCAACGCCACTGTCCATGTTTTTATCCTGGACCAGAACGACAATGCCCCCGCTGTTATTTACCCCTCCTCCGCTGCCATGGGCTCCCTCTCTCATCAGAGGATGCCTCGCTCCGCGAAAGCGGGTCACCTGGTTACCAAGGTGACAGCCGTGGACGCTGACTCGGGCCATAACGCCTGGATCTCCTACAGACTGGCGGAGGCCACAGACGCCTCTCTCTTCACTGTCAATCTGTACACAGGGGAGGTGAGGACTAAACGCGCTGTGTCCGAGCAGGACGACTCCTCTCAGAGGCTGCTTATAGAGATCAAGGACGACGGGGAACCGATCCAGTCCTCCACAGTCACGGTGTCCATCATACTGGAGGACGGCCTCCATGAGCCCATCTCAGACCTCCGACATAAAGCGGCCGAGCCCAGCAAGAAAACTGGGAGAATCACCCTTTATTTGATTCTCTCTCTGGCCTCGGTGTCCGTGCTGTCTCTGGTCACTTTCCTCATCTTAGCGGTTAAATGCATCAGGAACAGCAGGAGCAGCAGCACGTGCTGCATGAGACGGACCGACTCTGATGATTACAAGAACCCCAACAGAAACCTGCAGATTCAGCTCAACACTGATGGACCTATAAAGTACGTGGAGGTCCTGGGAGGAGACATGCTGTCTCAGAGTCAGTCCTTCAGGTCCTGTATGTCTCCAATGTCAGAGTACAGCGATTTCACTCTGATTAAACCCAGCAGCACCACAGACTTTAAGGAGGTGATCAGTGTCCTGGATGCTTCTTTACCTGACAGCACCTGGACCTTTGAGAGCCAGCAGGTGAGCAGAAAACAGCAGATATTCAGTGAAATGTGTTAGGTCACTGTTGAATATATAGTTTAAATTGTGAATTATATTTATCGACTTTTTGCAGGACAATATTGCGATAAGCTATTGTTATTATTTACATTATTAGTAGGAGTATTAATAGTAATAGTAGTAGCTTTACATCTATTATTTTATTTCAACACGAGTCAAAACGATGACCCACAATCGTTTATTCTGAGACACACAGTTAACATAACATTCTGTAATGTTTTATTTTTATCTCTTACTCATCGTTTCGTGGTATAAAAGCTCTAAGTGGCATGCTTGTGTTCGTGTTTTTGAGCTTTATACGTATGCAGTCATGCCTGTGTTGTTTTTGTGTATATTTAGTACTTGCAAAATAGGACCTATTCGATAGCACCTCCCCTCTTCATTGCTTCAAAAATAGAAACTGTCAACAATCCCTCTTAATCAAACAAAAACAGTCGCGTGTAGTGATGTTATGGCAACAGAGAAAATTACAATTTTGCAAAAAATTAGTTGTGCTTTACACATCTCACCTGCATGCTTTGTATGTAGAGAATGGGCAGATTAATTTCGCTTTGTTTTATTTCTTTGTTGGAAATTGTTCTCTGTAAATGTCCGTTTTCTTTAAATGAATGGATGGAAGAATTCTGTGAAAATATAAATAACATAATGAGCCTCAAAATCAATTTTAAATCCAGAGAGATGACGTTGGATTAACAGGTCACAAGACCAGCAGTGCATATTGGTGTACGGATTTAATCTCAGTGTTGTTGCTGTGTCTTTAACGGCACTGCTCAGCTGTCTTCCTATTGGATGTTACTGTGAGACGCTCTGCTCCAATAGCATGCAGAACTGTACAAAGAGATCTACCTCCTCCCCCTACAGCCTCAGCATCGTAAACGTTAACAATGCAACGAGCTGGAGGACGGTGTGATGCGCTCGTATTTCGAATGTTGAGGAAAAAAACAGAAAATTAAGCGTCAGACATGAAAAACATTGGGTGTTATATTTTTACGGATATAACTAACACTCACTGGAACTGGATATTCACTTTGCTTTACTTGATGGGAAATAACATGTTGTAACGGATCGGGGATGACAAAGAGAATGAGATACCGAGACTGGAGATGGCTGGCTCTTTGGTGGCATCATTTCTTTCTCTTGTGGAATACAATAGACGGACAGACTCGTTACAGTATCCAAGAGGAGCTAAAACAGGGCTCTGTGGTAGGAAATCTTGCCAAAGATCTGGGTTTGGCGTTATCTGACATTTTTGACCGCAGGCTGCGTGTCGCCTCTCAGGCTGGAGAGCAGTATTTCAGTGTGGATGCGGGGAAGGGCGAGCTTGTGGTAAATGACAGAATAGACCGAGAGGCTTTATGTGGACAAAGCGCCAGCTGTGTGTTACCTTTACAGATAGTTCTTGAAAAGCCTTTAAATTTACATCGAATTGAGGTGGAAATAAAAGATATGAATGATAATTCTCCAAGCTTCCAGACAAAGGAGCTGTCTTTGAAAATTGCGGAGTCGGCAGCAGTGGGAACTCGATTTGTTTTGGAAAGCGCAGAGGATGCAGACGTTGGGAGTAATTCAGTAAAATCCTACACGTTGACTAAAAACGAGTGTTTTACATTGAAAATTAAGGAAGTTGAAGATGGCAAAGCAGTGCCCGAGTTAGTATTAGAGAAACCTCTTGATCGAGAGAAGAAGGCCATTCATCAGCTACTGCTGACGGCATTAGATGGGGGTAACCCAGTATTGTCTGGTACCTCACAAATAACAATCACAGTGCTAGACGTCAATGACAATTTTCCAATGTTTGAAAAAAACACGTATAAAGTTTCTTTACAGGAAAATACTGCACAAAATACATTTGTAGTTAAAATTGCGGCGACGGATGCTGACGAGGGGCCAAACGGAGAAGTTGAATTCTCTTTTGGTTCGCGGACTCCAGATTCCGTGTTGTCAGTATTTGAAATCAACCCACTAACTGGAGAAATACATTTGAAAGGAGACCTAGATTATGAAAAAGCATCGTCCTATAAAATTGAAATTACGGCAAGAGATAAGGGTGTTCCTGAAATGGAAAGTCACTGTCGTCTACAGATAGATATTGTGGATGTAAATGACAACACTCCAGAAATTGTTCTCACCTCTGAACCGCAGCCAGTTCGCGAAGATGCAGCTAGTGGCACAGTTGTGGCTTTGCTCAATGCACGTGATGCTGACTCCGGTAATAATAGTAAAGTAACACTGAGAGTACCTAAAGGCTCTCCTTTCACTCTGAAACCATCATTTTCTAATAATTACGCGCTGGTTACAAGCGGTCCTTTAGACCGAGAGAGTTTCCCAGAGTATAATGTAGAAATCACAGCCACTGATTCAGGCTCTCCTCCCTTGACCAGTAAAAATAT